TACTTTTCAGGTTAATATTAGAATTATTTAATAATTGATAATTTATTATTTGAGAAAGAAAGAAATAGAAAACTAAAACTGAAAATTTTTAATAAAAATTATAACTTTAAAGTTTAAATCATTTTATTATATATCAACTTTTATTCTAAAAATGACGTATTTTCTATCAATAAATTAACAAATTAATTATTAAATTTTCCGAATGTCATTCTAGAGATTTTAATTAAAAATTAATTATGTTTGTTTAATTTTAGAGATATGCAAAGATTTTATAACTTTTCGTGTTACTTTTATAAGATTGTATATTGAATTTTTAGAATATTTGCTTGACCAATTATTATTATTTTAAATTCTTTCGTCATGTACATAGTATATATATATATATGTAGCAAAAAGACATAAATGTATAATGTGTGATAATTAAACTAGAAGTTGTTACTTGAATTTTAATCTATTACATGTAAATTTGCATACTAATGACGGTCAGCGAAGTTATAAATAAAGCGCAATATGTCGGAAAAGGGCGGTCAATGGTGAGGACTCGCGAGCATTAGCGGTGTCTATAAATTTCAAACTTTGTAATGTAATTCAAACGGGACAAATGTAAGTTACTCCGACGCGACGCGGCGCATGGAATGATGTATTATCGGGCGTCACGTGCTATATAATTTATTATTCGTTTCTTATTATTCATTATTCAACACATTTGCCTGCGTTTGTCTCAGATTATAATAACAGTATTAAATCGATCGACAATGGCAGTTAAATATGACTTAAGAAGGGACGCTGGGGTGATGGGGTCGGAAAATGTAGCGTATCTTTAGCGTGCAATTGTTCTGTTAATAAATTTATTTTGACAATTTAATTTGCTGCGAACTAAAAGTTTGCATTTTAAACACTATTATATTTAAAAAATGAGTTTAAAAATATTAATTTTTTGCTGAGATACACATAAAATTTTATTCTTATAAATATATACATTTTGTTCTTGTATGACCGCATTTGGTAGTTATCGATGTGTCGTTTTTTATCAAAGAGGAGGCAAAACAACTTGTTCGTGTGCCGCGAAAAAGTTTTTACGAAATGCCTACGACTGATGCCTATATAGTCAAATTTATTCGCAGCTTTGACCCTATAAAACAGATTGCAGTTGGAAACACGTATATTCTACTTACTGCGGAAGTACAAATGTTTCACGGCACTTCGTCATACTTCCTTGACACAATACCCTTGAATTACTCTCTATCTCATTTCTTGGTATTTCGGCTAAAAAGAATGTTTAAATTGTGCTTCGCTAAAAACTTTCGGATTATCTGACTATAAATGTTTTTCACACAATCTACAAGGATACTGGCGATACACTCTATTTCGTTCGAAAAACAACGAAAAAAAGTCTATATATACTTATTGACATATTAATAAACGAGTTTTAAGCTATAATCTTAAATTTACATTCAAATAATCTTTAATATTAAATCTCTTTAATATTAATTATCTCCAATATATTAATATCTCTGAAATAACAGAATCAATATACTACAGTTTGTATAAAATATCTACTAAAAGAGACAGTTTAGTTAATACCACTGACCAACATATCTTCTTGCTGTGTCAACTTGAAATAATCTTGGACAACTTGATACAGATTAATATTTGTCACATCTTGCGGATTGCTCCAAGATATCAATCCGCGAGCAAAATAAATCGAACGATTCAGATATGTTTTTGGCAAAAATAGTATAATAAAATTCCGATGCAGGATTAGCAGGAATATTATAAAGTTGTATATGTCAGACACACTTTAATTTGTCTAATATAATGCGTTTTAATTAAAACTTCTCGGCTTGAAAAGAAACTTTGATTGATTGCAAAAAGCGGATTACTTAATTCTGTAGAAAAACGAATATAAAGGAAACTCGCGAATCTTTCCTTTCCGTTTATTCCCGGATAAGCACACTTCCCTGTTAGATCTTCCCTTTTCCCGCATCTTCTTCACCACCTCCTCGTCTGAAAGTTACACTGACAGGATCCAGTCGGAATATCCGAATCAAGTCCGTGAACAAAGGGAAGAAAAAATGATGGGAAGTTCTCGCGGCACCACATTGTGCCGCTGCCGCGCCGCTGCCGCGCCGGTATGATGTCCCGAAGTCGAATTTATTCGCGGGTTAAAGCGTATAAAATCGGCCACCACTGGCAGGCTCGAAACGGGCGAAATCATATTACTCGATGAATATGCAGTACGATTTTGCGGTTGAAAGTTTTCAGTCGGTTGTAACTCGCCGTGCTGTTTCTACTTCCGCTCGCACCGTAGTCCTAAAACTGACGGCGACGGCGACGGCCGGATGATTCGCACAGAGACGTATTCTAATTAGGACAAAAAGCGGAATACATCACGCGGCTGTTCCCTAAATCACATCCGTACCCGAAATACCTTTCGGCTTCTTAATTGGTTCCTTTGCCGTCGTTATATCGGGCGCTGCGCGTGCGCGGCAAGAAATCATTTAGGATCTAGAAATTAATTAAGAATCGCATAGCGGACGGCGATTAATTTATGTCGCGAATTAGTCTCGGTTCTTTAAAAAGCAACGGCAGTATTGGACACTCAATTTATCTTGATATTGGTACAATGGTTCGAGAAAAGTTAATTGATGGATTTTCGATATTTGCAAAAAGAGATTATGACATAAAGTGTAATCACACGACAGTAGCTCGATATGTATAACGTTTTCTAGCAACAATTTTTTTGAAATATCATTTCAAACGTATGTTTACTGAAATATTTCTATTCAAAAAATTCTATTCCTTCCACACAATTCCAAACTAACATTTTTCCAGTTGATTATAGTCTAAAACGTCAATAAAATTGAATGCAATTCTGTTTTAGAAACAAATTCAAAGCAAAAGCCTTTAAAGATTTAAAGTAAAAGTACGAAACAAAAATTTAATTTCATAAAACAATTGTTTTCTATTGTGAATTGTTTTATATTTCTTTGTTTACATATTGATTATTGCTGTTGAAATTTGATGTATAACAAATAATTTTGTTAACATTTAGATAATCAAGTTTAAAAAACACCATGAATATATTATTAATGTTCCAAATTAAATTATCTTTTTAAATATAATTTTACATAAAAATATTTTATTCTACAGTTTTTCATGAGGAATTATATCTTTTATTGTACTTTTTTATGATATACTTTTTTATTTATAAAAACAAATATTTTGGTTTATCTTTAATGTATATATTTTATATTATTATTTTTGATCTTTTAGAAATATTATGTATAGAGAAATGATAAAAAAAAAAGAAAATGATTTATCCTACTTTATTTATGTATTTCGTTATTTTAGGAATTTTATTGATTAAGCGAAATTAGATTTAGGATTTTATCCATTTGAATAACGGCAAGCGTTCGAAGATAATTTGCCTCCCCGGATCATAATTCGATTTCTCTATCGTGCTAAATGTACCCTCGTTACCCAATTTCCTGATCGAGCTATCGCTTCGAATTACTATCTAATTCGTTATATTCGATAAAATCTATCACAATCCATATTGGTTAAAAAAAATCATATACAATATGATAAAATTAAATCATCACGATAATTGGAAAGATATTTGAAATGAAATATTTAAAAAACTAGAATGTTTTTAAAGTAATCTCTCTCATGAACATTAAAAATCCTTCGAACATTATTGGCAATATACCTCTTAGACATTCCGGCTATGTGAAAAATGCATTTCCGTTGATATAACTTATCAATCGGGATAAAGTAAAGAGAGGTCAGCGAAAAGTTCGCTTTCTAAAAAAAAAAGCATCGACGAGAGGAAATTCTTTGTGAGAATACGCGGCTTAAACGTGCACGTTTCGTTGAGGCGTGACCAGCCGAAATTATCGAGGAAACTGGAATTTCCCGGTCGGCCATGAGACGTCGTAAAGATATAACGTAGCGCTGGCGAAGGAGCTGAATATAGCTTGTTCAAGGATTTCTGCTCGGCAGTATGCAGCTGTAGCTCCTGTCGTAACCTACCTTCCCTACCTATTTTACCTTCTCGCCAATCCTCACCTTCTTGTTGTTTCGCATACGCTCCGTGTCTCTCAACGTTGGCTTGAGACCATGAAACGGTCGGTTTTAACAAGGATACCGAGTCACGGCAAGCAACATTTGATTTTTTAAACTGAATTATATATAATATCATATAATTAGAATTGCGTTTAACCTAGCTTTTCCCTTTGATTCTTTCCTTGAAATAATTCAGTGCTCTATTCTTTATTCTTTCCCGAATCACATCTACTGTCACATTTTCCTTTTCCGTTAAATAATCTGCGCTCTTCACATAATAATTTCGCGAAAATAATGTACATGTTAATTAAATATTTTTGTCATACAGAAAATTAATAATTATTTGTATTCTAATGATTGTTTAGTTGGTTAAATCAAAATTATTTGTTTTTATTGGTCAACATTCTATGCGTTTGTAAGAGACAAAGAAAGTTTACGTCTTATATTACAATGATAACTTATCATATAATTTTCATTTAATTTTAAGTAAGTTGACTAATGTAAGTACATTTTTTGCTATTAATGCATATCAATTTTTTTCAGTCTAATTTTTTACATGCAAAAAGTTACACAGTAATACACATTACGATAGTAATACAATAATTAAATTTTAAATCAATTTGTCCTATCATCCGATGTCAATTACTTTTTCCTTAAAATTGATTATATATGTATATAGTACTTGAAATTAATTATTTATCAAATAAAATAAATGATTAATGAATTTTTTTTTTCTAACGTATATAATGAAGCACTGAATACCGATAATTGGTGTTCCAGACTTAATTCAGTTATATAAACGTTCCATTAACTTTTGTATTTGAATAGCCCGCGCACTAGCTGCCTATGTTTGATGGTTGCCCTGGTAACAACCTAGAGATTCGTTAGAGATATTTCATGGCCGCAAATAATATATTATTTTGTTAGAACAGAAAAATCTGCATAACGTATCTGGAACCATCGGTACTCATAGCTCGACGTAAGTAAATCGCACAGAAGTATGTTATACACATAATATTGATTAAAAAAACACAACAATAAAACATAATTATTTTAAAAGTATTCCATATATTTATTTTACTAGTTATTAATTATTCTACAATAATTAAATCAGCATTTTGGGAGTTGTGTTATCGTTTATATTCTGATGTAGCAATATTCTCAGTTCCTACGTATTTATTTAATTATAATACACATATTATCAGAAACTAATTCGTCTATATAAATCACAGGTTTCTATTGTATTATAAATCAATTGATTAAAGACATGACTGATAGTGAACAACTCTCATCAGTTGTTTCTTACGGGTCTGAAGAAGAAAATAGGCCTACTAGAATTCCTGGTCCATCTTCTCAATGACAGAAGCGATTGAAAACTGAGCATATTGAGATACTTAGCACACAAGAAGAGCTACAAAAAGTACTACATGAGAAAGTTGGTATATTACACGTCAAGATGGATCAACTGATTAAAGATAAGGTTGATGGTAAACAACCCTCATCAAATGTTTATTATGGGTCTGAAGAAGAAGATGAGCCTATGTCTACTAGAGTTTTTGATCCATCTATTCAACGACAGAAATCATTAAAAACAACCAAGTGTACTAAGATACCTGACATACAAAAAGAGCTACAAAAATTAATATCTAAGAAAGTTGTTGAATTACATGTTAAGATGGATCAACTACTGATTAAAATGGATAAGCTTATATTTAAGCCTAGAGTTTCTGATCTATCTACTCTACGACAGAAACCGTTGAAAACAAATCAATATACTGACAATAAGATATCTGACACAGAGAGCTGCTAGAATTAATATATGAAAAAGTTAATAAATTATTTTTTCTGGTGGATAATATGAACAAACAAGCAAGAATTGCAGAGCAGAAATTACAAACCAAATTAGATAATATCATACAAATGGTGTAATCTTTCCCTACATTTTTTGCGAGAGTTACTAATTAAGTTAATATGGAAAGACGACTGCTCCAAAAATGTTCTTTTTAATAAAGCATAATATCTAAATATATTAAAAAATGTTTTATTAATAAACAAGCATAATATGTAAATGTATTCGAAAATTATTTACTAATAAAAAACAAAATTTCAAAAATCACAAGAATAAACTAAATTAACAAATTAATATAAAATATGAGAAAAGTATGTATATCGAGGTCGTACTGTATAATGATAGATATACATATAGGGTAAGTTGGGGGAATATGCCACACTTAAGCGAAATTAGATTTTTTAATAATTATTTGTTCAATTTAAAATAACTTTACATACTGATCTTTTTCTTCCATCCTTTATCTATTACACGGGCCTGCATGGTTTTGTTGATTGGGATTTAACTATGTTTTCTTACGTAATTTTTCGCGCTGAATCCGAATCCGGCGGCAGAATTGCTCTATCACGTCAGGTTTT